ATGGGAAATTTAGTTTAAACAACAGATGAAGAAAACAATGGGATGTTCTAGAAGTTGGAGGTCTCCTCAGTTTTAGGTGTTTTAAAAGCTACTGAGGCTTTTTTCTTAGCTTGTAGTCTTTGTGTGCCCTCTCAGTGCACGCAGAAGCTCTCCAAGATTCTTCATTTAAGTAAATTTTCTGTTCTTTTTGAGCTTTTTCAAAAGAAGCGCCTGAAAGTGGGAACAATCTCCGTGCTAAAGATTGCAGTTCTGTCCTGCTGGCTGCTATGCTGACCACCTTTGCACTCAGCTGGGTTTAGCAGGGGCATTCTGAAATGGAGAAGTTTTCTTGCACTTTCTTCACAGATGTCTGGTGTTGCAGATAGCACTGGTATTTCAGTAGGGAACAGAGGGCTAATTCACCAGTGCCACTGTGTATATTCCCTGTAATCAGTGCTGGACAAATACTGGCAGTGCTGTGATGGAATTCTTTGTTCATCTCAGACTTTCCAAACTTGGAATTGGTGTGTTTTTTACTGTTGCTCAGTATTAGCCTGTGCTCTTCTGGTTTATTCTCCTACCTTGTTAAGAATTCTGAAATTTTAGACATATAAGCAGGTTTTGCTTTTATTGTCAATGAATACTGACATAAAATTCTGTTTTCTAATGGATACATATTACAATGATTTTACAATGATTTCTTGAATAGAACACCGACCCAGGTTAAATAATGCCAAGATTCTAATATTACAAGAGAAAACAAAGAAAATCCAAATCTCAGTTGACAGTCTGATCCTTAGTTTGTCCTTTTGTACTCCTATTGTAAATTTTATGCAAAGGTCACAGCAGCACTACATCACAGGCTTTAGTAACCCTTTAGTATTTACACCTTCTGTAGGTTCTGTAACTATATAAACAGAACAGATTGCTTCTGATACTCTTACATAACAAAGCATGGAATATTGTATATCCCATAGAATTAATCTCAAATGCATTTATCATCTAAATCCATATTTCACAGTGCAGATTTTATGTGTTTAGTCATAAAAAAATACATGCAGACTTGTGAGCGACTGTGTGTGAGTGAGTACCATAGAGCTAGGGTCTCAATTTCTGGTTTAAATATATAGCTGGACAAAAACAAGAATATTGGTAACAGCATTCACAATCTCAGTGAGGGAAGAGCTATGAACAGAACAAAATGCAAATACCTTGGCTGGACAAAATTGAGTTTTCCAGAACTGTGGCAAGCTCTGTCTTTGCTCATTGCTTTTCCTAGCTTTATTTGTACAAGTAGATGCTGTTTTTTGAAAAGGAGCACCAAAATTATGTTCATTCTTCACACTGAAACATTCTGCTCTTGGCAAACTGTTGAAAGTAAGCTGTGAATAACTGATAAATAGGGTTAATAATTTTTAACAATGCCTCAGCTGTAACAGCAGCATTGTCAGGCTGGTGCTGCACCAGTGTGAAGGATTTGAAGAAGGCAATACTGGTACAACAAAGTCGGATAGTAATTCTTATTTTTATGCTGCAAACACTGATTTAATCACTGGTTTTCTCCGTTACACTACTTTATATCGACATCTTTCATTTTTCTGTCCTTTGAAGGTGGTAAATATGATTGCCATTTTATCCATTTTTGTTATAAATGAAACAGACTTCAGAGCGTTTGGCTGTGCATCAGTTGTTGGAATGCTGCCATACACTAATGCAGACTCCCCACTGTGAGCCCAGTGAAGAATTATACTTTGATTCACCAGATTGTATTAAATAGTCCAGCTGTTGGGATTTGAAAGATAGTTACCTCCAAAGTGAAATAAAAATGAACTTGGCATTTATGGCTTTGACCATTTTTATAGTGTTGGGCAATCAGCTTTTCAAAAGTAGCACTTTTTAAAATAACCCTCTTCTGGTTACACTGCTTTAAAAAGTTTAATTTGCTGTAACGTTCAAAATACTCCACCTTGTATTTTTCTGGAATGATTGACAACTTTTGCATAAAATAAGCATTATTTTCCTTTTGAAATCACTAGCTTCTGATGATAATCAAATGAGTCTGAAACTGTATCTATTAGTGCCAATTTCTGCATTAATTAACTTATACCAAAATTCTAATGTTAGAGACAATTCTTGTAATTAAAGCTTGAACGTGGAATTTCATTTGTTCTATCCAGTGCTGCAGCAGCGAGCTGAGTAAATTCTTTCTGAAATGGAAAGTGCAGCAACTGTTGTTTCTGTGATTATTTTTTGGTTTTAACCTGTTCATTTACTCTCTTCCCATATGGTGGGAGCTGGTGCAGTCCCCACCCAGTGTTCTAATTGTTGAGTGAGGTGACCTCTTTTTTCTTTGTCATTTTCTTTAGGACAAAGACTGTCACAATAAAGGGCAGTTGGATATCCTGTAGCTGAATTTCTTTCTCTGGCCTCCAGTTATTCTACCTTTTCCTCTCAAGGGTGTTACCTTACCAGAATGGAAGACTGTTCCTTAAAAATAAACATGACAATTTAGAGCTAAAAAAAATGAAAAGCGGGGAATAAAAAAGGCTCTGGACAAGCCTACAGTGCATGTAGGAGCTTGAGGGAACTCAGCACCTGCCCAGTTTGGGCTCTGTGGGTGTGGGCTGTGCATCCATAGTGGCCTGTAAGGCTGAGCCTAAGGATGGGCCAGTGCAGTGCAGCTGCCATCGCTGAGCCTGCAGGGCTCCGAGCCCACGGCCCCTGGGCCGGGGGCTCTGGGGGGCTCAGGCTCTGGGGGGCTCAAGTCTCCTGGGGGTTCAGGCTCTGGAAGGCTCAATCTTTTGGGGGCTCAGTCTCTTGGGGGCTCAGTCTCTTGGGGGCTCAGTCTCTTGGGGGCTCAGTCTCTTGGGGGCTCAGGCTCTTGGGGGCTCAGGCTCTGGGGCTCAGGCTCTGGGGCTCAGTCCCTTGGGGGCTCAGGCTCTTGGGGGCTCAGTCTCTTGGGGGCTCAGGCTCTTGGGGCTCAATCTCTTGGGGGCTCAGGCTCTGGAATGCAGGGTGCAGGCGGCACAAGCCTGTGCTCTCAGGCTCTCTCTCTGTGTGCCCACCCAGCAGGGTTAAGGTGGCAGTGGGAACACCCCAATCTGCCTCTTGTTCACATTGAGCAGTCCCAGTGTTTGCCATGTTCTCTGCTGGTGCATTCCAGCTAATCTAAGGATTTGCCTGCATGTTTTCAACACCAGTACAAAGCTGCGGAATACACACAAGTGCTTTTAGTTTATAGTCTGATGCCAGCTTTGACAAATAACCCAGGTGTCTCTGACCTTTCCTTCCTCCCTGCACTGCAAACAATGGTGGTGTAACCCCATTTCTGCAGCACAGGGTGTGGGTCAAACGCCCGTGAGAGTTCAGCAGAGCCAGTGGGTGAATTTCCAGAAATCATCAGCGCTTGCTCCCAGTGAGACCAGCAGCAGCCCAGGGAGCACCTGGTTACGCTGTGCCTCAGTGATGCAGTGCAGCCCCCAGGCAGGTGGCTCTGGGACTGAGAAGTGGAGAAGCCATTTTTCAGTGCCTTTTGAGTTCATTTTTTGTCTTCCATGCCTGCCTTAACAAATGATCCAGGAGGGGGAATGTGACTGTTTGATTTTGTGCACTGCTATCTGTATATAACAGCTGTTAAATCCATACATCTATTTATTAGCTTAGCAGACCTGTCTTAGTCATATGTGCTACTAATAGAAATGCTTTTCTGTGTTTCTATGCTCTTCTGCATATGTGAGCTGTCATTTGTATTTATATATTTATTCTTTTTCTTCCAGATCAACTAGTCACACAGAATTGACAAGAAAAGCTTCTAGCAGTGAAAAAGAGACAGAATCTGTGGTAGTTTTAGATCCTGTGTCCACCAGTGGGGATCAAATATCTGAAAATGCCCTGAACCAGAACAAAGCGAAAGAAGAAAAAAGCAAGCCACTGCATAAAGAAACTAATGTTGGGAAAATAAAAGAAACAGATAGTTCTAGCTGTTAATTGTTACTCTGCAAGGCTGTAACTTTTGGGAATCATTATCTGGACATGTGAATTGCTTAGGTGTGTTACTAGGGGCCACGGTCTGTACTCCAGACAGAAATATTACAGATTGAAATGGTCTTTTGTATGCAGCTTCTGTTACATGCACTGAAGTGTTAAATAACTGTGTGTCACTCAAAATCCCTTTCCCATTTTAATTTTGCAGGTATGGGTATTAATTTCTTAGATAGTGTCAGTTACCTTTAAAACTGGATTTGAAGAGGCTTTTTTAATTCTTCTTTTATTGAGAAGATGCCTTGTTGAAGGTCTGTTCCAAAGCTTGCCAGAAGACCCTTGCATCCATCCCTCTTGAGCTGGATAGGTTTGGGTTAGACCCTGTAAGTGATTACACCCTCATCAGCTTCAGTACGGGGGTGTTACTAATCATTAATAAAAATGTGTTTAGACACATTGCTCTAAAAAGGTTTTGATACCTGCTTAAAGCAAGATCTTGTTGGTCCCCTGCCTGCTGTCCCCACACAGGGAGGAAATGAAAAGCACAAGCACAACCCTTCTGTCTCAGATTGTCAGGGGACAGAGACTGAAATGCAGAGGCAGTGCAGCATCTCATTCTGGTACCAAGATTTTTGGCAGTGATAGCCGGAGTCAGGGGTTTGTGGGCTGGGACTGGTGCTCTCATTTGGGTTAAAAGCTTTGCAGAGGAGGACTTGCTCCTGGGTTTTGTTTTAATGCTACACAGCAGCTTTTGGAACTGCTGCAGTTGGAGTCTGTTTTACTGCTGCACAAAAATAACTTGCCTTAGGCTCCAGTGGGTATGGGCTGTGTTTGGGATTCATTCTAGGACTGCAAGTTATTGGGAATCATCAACATTCTGAGAACTCCCAGCTGAAAGCTCACAGTGCTAACAAATGAGCCCTTGCTTTGAACCTGGCACACACTGGTGGCATTAATTTCTTTATTAGGTGACACTTCAGGTGTCTGTATTTGATAACACAAATCCCAGTTTCCCTCAGCCCTTATTCCCTATGACAACGGTGAGATAGGAACATCATTGATTTGCTCCACTGCCAATTCACATTCCAGTGCAGTCTCTTTAAATTCAGCACAGTATCTCATTCTTTTATAATGAACAAATGGAATCAGGGATTTACCTAAAGATTGGTGTAACTGAAATTGGGTGGGCACGTACTTGAATGCACTTGGATTCTTTTTTATTTAATTATTTGAAACAGTGATAGTATTGAAGGATGAATGTTCTGAGTTTGTTGGTTTGGCTCTGCATGCAACTGTCTGGTGCTTTTCCTAAAAATAAAATGATAGTAATGAGTGTGGTGGTTTCACATCTATTTTGGTGGTTTTTGCATGTTTGCTACGAAAATCTTGGACTTGATCTAATGACTGAATTGCATACAGTTCATAAACTTGCGGAAATTTGTCTCTCATTGATATTTTCATTTCTTGAGGGCAGTTGGTTCTGGCTGTTAATTTTTTATTTAGTTATCTGTTACACTGAACTTAAAATGCAAAATTTCATATATGTATTTTTTCCTGAAATTATTGCTGCTGTATTATATGTTCAGATTTTCAAATTATGCAAAACCCAGAAGTTTTTCAAGAAGCATTTCTTTTACTTAAACTGTTTTGTTACCTAGAACATAAATTATTTCTTCAACTTTCCATTGTTGCTTATTAAAAAGACTCCTGACAAGTTTCCCAGACCTTGTGGAATTGACTTGTTACTCACTGATGCCAGTCACAGCTCCATGCCCAACATTTGGGGTTTGCACTTTTTTTGAGGGCTACAAGTGGAGCAAAATCTCCTTTGCAGGTTAGATCTCAGAGCAGCACTGAGGGGGTGGGGGGGATGGAGCAGCATAACACTCAAGCCCTTTTTTTTGGTTTTATTTTTTGTAAAATGTGGTGTTCTGTTTGTGTTTGGTTTTTTTTTTTTTTACTGTTTGTCAACTGCTTGCTCTTTGTATGGAGGGAGATTCTGATTTTCTCAAAACAAACATTTAGTTTTGGACTTAACAAAGTAGTGTTTGTTTTGTCAATTTGTAAATGCAGCACAGAATTTTATGGTATTTTCAGACTATAGTCACTGCTCAGTTAATTTGGTTTCAGCTGAAGGCAATGGGCCCTGGGAAAAGAGAAGCCAGTATTTGAAATCTCTTAGAGCTATTTGGCTGAACTGCTTGAAAAAAAATGTATTTATGAATAGTTAATATGTGACATAAATAAATATTAACTATTAAATAGTTAATATGAGATAAATGTAAATATGTAACATTTTCTTAGTAAAATGTTTTTTCTTAGAAATTTATCCCAGAGTAATGATGACAGCCTTGGTTAATGTGCTGTTTTCTGGGAGCTGGGCAGGCAGGCTGTGAATCTGCAGGGCTGGCTGAGAGCTGTGGAGACAGCTAATCCTGCTCTGGGGCAGGAAGCACATCAGGAAGTTGTTCTGGCTGTAAGTCTTCAGCAAACTCAACAAATTCAAGTTTTGCTTCACCTGAAATAGAAGAAGGAAAAAACAGCTCATGTTTGCTGTAATGGGGTTTGTTGTGCTCTGGTGCACAGAGACGTTTTGAAAATGCCACATGATGGTTACAAGACCAGACACCCCTTTAAAAGTCTGGTCTTTGCTTAGAAATGAAGGAACATTGTGGTTACATGGTGCACTGCAGCCTGAGCTGGGATATTTACTGCATCCCTTTCTCCACTGATCATCTCACCTTGCTGCCTTCTGTTTTCCCCCTGCTCTGGTGCTCTTGCCGGGTTCCCATCAGCTGACTGCTGCTAAAGCCGTTGTCCCAGCCTTGATCCCATAACCAGCAGTTCCCTGTTCCTGCCACCAAGAGCTCTCTGGCTTTTCCCGGCTGTGACCCCTTCCCCAGCCCTGCCCTTGGCACAGCTCCTGTGTGCCGGTGCCAGGGAGGGGCGGCTGTGTGTGCCCAGCCCGGGCGGGTCCCGGGGCTGCTCGGAGCCCCAGTAGCGGGGCCCGGTGTCCCTGAGCCCGGCCCCGGTGCCCCTCAGCCCGGCCCCGGTGCTCCAGAGCCCGGCCCGGTGCCCCTGAGCCCGGCCCCGGTGCCCCAGAGCCCGGCCCCGGTGTCCCTGAGCCCGGCCCCGGTGCCCCAGAGCCCGGCCCGGTGTCCCTCAGCCCGGCCCCGGTGCCCCAGAGCCCGGCCCCGGTGTTCCAGAGCCCGGCCCGGTGCCCCAGAGCCCGGCCCCGGTGCCCCAGAGCCCGGCCCGGTGTCCCTCAGCCCGGCCCCGGTGCCCCAGAGCCCGGCCCCGGTGTCCCTGAGCCCGGCCCCGGTGCCCCAGAGCCCGGCCCCGGTGCTCCAGAGCCCGGCCCCGGTGCCCCTCAGCCCGGAGCTGCCCCGCACGGCCTCGGGGCACTCCTGATGCCATTGCGGTGCCCTGGCTCGGGCTCTCCCGGCTGTCCCAGCTCCAGCCCACAAATGAGGAGCTTGGTATGCAGCTCAGAGCTGCTCTCACTGCTGCCCTGCTGTTGATTTAGCTACTGGATCTTATTTCTGCCAAGTGATTAACGGTGTCGGGGATTGTTGCCGTTTCATTTCATCAGATATAGGTCTAAATATTTGTCAGACTCGAGAGCCTTTGCTTAGACTATATTATTTGAGGAGGCAATATATTAATACTGCTGAGGCAGTTAAAATTCATAGTTCTGTAATTATCTTATTTTCGAAAAGTGCATTCTGCAAAACTATTAGCACAAAAAAATTTCTATGTTTCTGTGTTTTACAATGGTTATGAGCAAGGGGAAGATTTCAAAAAGCTCAACATATTTTCAATTTTTAAAAAATTTCAACTAAAACCTTTGTTCTATAGTGTGCATGTCAAGTGCTGCTACCCTATGTGTAGAACACTGGAAATTATAACAAACAAGAGGGTAAAATTACTTAATTCTTCTTCGTGTTTCCTTTTCTTAGGCATAATGCAATTCCTGCAAACCCTTTCCTTCCTTTCTTCCTCTCCTTGTCTCTCTGCCTCCCCTTTAGACTGCATGTCTTTATTCTGGCTTGATTGATACCTGAGCAAGTGAGAAGTGGCTCTAATGAACTGTTAAGCATTTAACAGTGCCTTGGTGCCGTGTAAAAAGAAGATGCAGATCCTGAAACGGGCAGGCAGATGCATACAAGTGGCTAAGGCTGAATGTGCATCGTCAACTTGGGGTTTTCTTGAATTTTATATAAGCCTTACCCACGCAATTGTAGCTTTCCAAACACATTTTGCTGGAAATGTAACATACAAAGAAGGGTGGTGAAATGAAGTTTTGTTAGCAATATATGTTTCTGGGCCTCGAGGGAGGTGGGGTATTTGGCCTAAAATTCCATTTTGGCAGCTTTTCGACACATTATATGCACGGTTTTTTGTTTTGTTCCTTTTGCACCGTGGGCTTCAAGACTCCAACCAATTAATTCTGGAAAAAAAAAGCTTAATGTAGGCTACTCCTCAAGAAGGGGTCTATTTTAACATTCAGTAAACAGATAATCCATTAGGACAACAATATACATTGTGGCAAGTGCTATCCTAGGCTTTTTTTGTCAGCCCTTATTTATAGCCTTTTGATTCCGCTTCCCTCCTGGGGTGCAGTTTCAATCATTCTCCCTCCAATCTTTGTGCCCGTATTCATGGCAGGCTGAAAACAAAGTAAGAAAGAAGCTCGTACGCAGCGCTCCATTCGCGGCCAGTTCCTCCTCTATAGCCAGCAGCCGGTTGTATTTGGCCACCCTTTCTCCGCGGGAGAGACCTCCCAACTTGAGGAACCTGGCACCCAGGCCCACAGCCTGCAACGAGACAGTGGTGAAACTCCTCACTCGGCCAAGTGAAGTCATTCCCAAAAATTAAACACGGTGTCCTAAGTCTGATTTAACACCCTCGTTCTCTCCGCAGAGAAAAACGGGGAAATAAAACCTCTCCGTGAAAGACTTGCCGGATGCAAACAGTAATTTTCGCTGGCATATAAAGTGAAATTTTATTTGCAGAGTATTAAATATAATAGTGTTAAGGATATTTGTTTAAAATGTTGTTACTACGCAGGAATGTTGTAAGTAACTCATAGTTTTTTTATAAACTAATGCAAGCAAATGGATCATACACACTTTTGAATATACTCCCTGCTTTGGCAAATTTCCTCTGTGCTCTCTTTAAACTCAAAAGAATAACCACTCTCTGTGGGAAAAAAAACCAACCCGCTAGAAAAAGCCCATTTTGTAAAATGTTTCTTTCTCAAGCACAAAAAGGCTTTCTCCTTAAAAAATAGTACATGTTAAAAGCAGTATTTTTGCAATTCTGCAATTGAACAGCTTTCAATACTTACCAGATCCACGAGGCTCTCATCTGAAGATTCTCTATCTGGACTTCCTAATATGGTAACACGTCTTTGACCTATACATAATGGGAGGGAACACCTTCATTAGAGTATATTTTATATATTTGACACAGAAATTGTTTGGATGTCTCATTCTATTTTTACCCCTGGGCTATCCAAGCTTAAATACAAACAGGAGTAAACCCCACCTGATAAAAATGTAAACTGTTTTAGTTTGCTATATTAGCGATCTGTTTTATTTTCAGATGGATAAGGGAATATCTAACATCCTGTCCTGGTCTCTGCCTCTCACTGATCTGTCTGATCAGGTTGTGCTATTTATATGAAATGTGATCCTCACTATAGTAATTTTTTTTTTTTCTATTCAAAAGAGAATTTACCATCCTGACTGAACGGAATCTATTTGCTATTTACTCGCTTTGATACACCGAGTGTGGGTGTTTTTAAGGAACAAGAAAAAAACTAAGCTATATTAAATTTGTCCGTCTATTCCTCAGGTATAAAAATTAATAAAAGAAAATCTGATAGAAAGAGAAATCTTACATATGAAGCTGCACAGGTTTTTCATACTTACAACAAAGGCTCAAAAATATATATTCAATAATCTATCTAAATGCAATTTTAAACAGTTTGCACATCTGAATTTTTAAATTATTAATGCTAAAATTATTCAAAATTGAGATGAATTGCTCGCATCTCTCCTATTTTCTTTAATTCTGATATCTAACTGCATGACACTTAGTTGCAGTGTCAAAAGGCACCCACGTACAAACCATTCACAGTGTAGACACTGACAGCACTTGAAGCCCTGACTGCTGTTTAAGGCCCTTGACAGGGATTTGTGAATCAAAACATGAATTTCTGTTTCTTCTGGCAAGTGCTTTCTAAATTAGAATTTATTTAATTAGGATAATTAAATGAAAACACGTAATATTTACAGGTGTGGCTTGCAGAGTTTGGTTTCAGCCTTTCCCCCTCGACTCACCGTCCAGAACTCCAGTGAGTTCTATGAGGTCTGACACCTTGGTTTGGTTCGTGTATTTTAGGACAACACCACTGCACATTGCTATGTTTATGTTTTGGTTGGTTGTGAGTTTGGAAATTTGCGTGGCAGCATCTTCGGCAATCAGGTAACATTTGGAACCAAGGGAACAACAGATGCTACTCCACTGGTCTCTGTCCTGCACAAACAAATTGAGCAAACAACTGGAGTTTAAAAAACTAAACTGAATGAAAACTCTAACTGAGGAGGTACAAATTAAATAATCATCTGAGTAATATCCTAAATATGCCCTTCATATAAACATATTTAATTTTATACTGCATTTTAAATCTGTCCACCTAAGAAAAACATGCCACTTGGATTTTCCTTGAGTTTTTAGATTTTGCTAGAAAACCAAAGTTTTAATCCTTAATTAATCAACACTATCTGCAAAAAAATATAGCTAAAATATTTAAATTAAATTAAGTGTAGGGGTCTGCTATTTTGATTTCCCTCTTGAAATTTACTTCATTTTGATGGAACATAAAATAATTTTTTCTTGTTATATTCAAATGACTCATTTTTGTGTTAATATTTCAAGTGTCATAGTTGTCTGAACATAAAATAATGAACAGGAGACATAGACTCAATGGCAAGACCCATAGGGAACAGAAGAATACAATGCTCTCTTTTCTAGCAAAGCTCCATTTTTCAGGGTCTTTGTGTCTTTCTTTATTTAATGTATTGTTCACATGGTACATGGTCCAGGCTAAATAAAGGACAAGGATATGTAAAGAATTTTAAAGAAGAAATATACAAATTAATTTGCTTGCTTTGTATCCACAGAATGCAAAGTTCTCACATTAAAAACATGTCTACTTCATCATTCTGCCAGTGGTTATTCTTGGTCTGTGGATCAGTTTTTTGTACTTATGTACTTGCAATCAACATTAGGTGCTATTCCTGTATGGATTTCAAGCCTGTGCATAAGAGAAAATGAAGTTTTTGACACCAGAACAAATGTTAAAATTTAAGCACCAAAGTGGTCTGGTGTCTGGCAACGAAATATTGAATTGGTACCAGAACTAATCCTCAAGGATCTGATTATCAGGGCAAAGATGTGGCATGGGTAAACCTTGGAGATTTGGAGGAGGAGGAGGAGGAGAAGGAGGAGGAGGAGGAAGAGGAGGAAGAGCAGTTCCCAACTGCACTTCACTGTGTGCTGTAATTCTCCTGCTGATTCTCATCTTGCACATAGTTTCCATCATAAGAATTCACAAGGAAGTTTGCAGCCCTGGCAGGAGTGGGGAATGACCTGGTGTTTTGGAACATGGTAATTCAGAGAGTCAGACTGAAACAACACAGGGAGGCAAGGCTAACCAGTGTGAGGTAATACTAAACACAGTTATGCAAAAAACAAACTTTTAAAGTTCCAGTTAAGGACAAAATCAGATGGATTTTGCAGTTCATTGGTTTTTTAGAATTATTCATTCAGGCACTGGGCAGACTCACAGACCCAACATCACTTTGCTTCTCCCTTCAATCACAGTCTTTGTGTTTTGTTCATGAAAATGAACTCCCTGTATTTATTTTTAAGAAGATAAAGTGAAATTTGACACCAAAAGCAAATTTTGTATTAAGTTGTGCAACTGCAGAATCTTAGTCTACAACTCTAGGTTCTCCAGCAATTAAGTTTTTATTATTTTTTTAACACATGGAAATTTAACCTCATGTATAAATGTGAATATTTAAGGTTATACAATCTCTTTTATTCATCTATAGCTTGATAATATGCTTAATATTATTGTGCTTTATTGTTGTAGTTGATTGGCCACACTAATTAACTCCTCTAACTTTGATAACAGAGGTAAATGCAGGGTGTCTTACTCCCACTTGAAAAATTCTGCCGAGCAATTCTGCCAGTGACAGGACTTTGGTTATAAATATCCATCACAAAGAACTGCAGCAATAACATATTCTGGTGATTTTTTGGCTGAATAGACAACAATGTTCAAATGTTTGCTTCTCCAGCCTAATATTAATATTGTATTACACATCAATTTTTTGTAATACACTTGAATTTTACCTTATAATTTCACCTTATAATTTAATAGTGTACATAAAGACAAAAATGTAATCAAAATAACAGCGGTTTAACAAGAAGAATCAGATAAAAAAAAAATGCAAATTCTTGTAGTCATTTAAGGTATGTGTACTGACCATATTCTGTTAATGCCAAGATTTTCCATTAGAAATTATGTAAAAAATACTAAAAAATTTAGATATTGCCAATAAAATAGATTCAAAGATATTGTTAGATGCATTTTCTAGTGATATTTTTGTGCTTAAAAACTTGAAAATTAGAAGCTTTTAATTTTACATGTTTTGTAAAAATGAGAAAAGGTCAATGATATGCCACTGAAGAGTACCACCAGTTTTTAGAGGACTGCGCTGAGTTATCTTACCTCTTTTCTTAAGGGATCTATTAATGCAATAATAAAAGGAAAATTATCAATCATTTCCACATACATGGCAACCATTTCATCAGGAGTTTTGAATGTTCCAGTGAGTATTTCGTATTTTCCTTTACCCTAGAAAGCAAAATAAAAAGCATGAACTACAGGGAAGGTAGGAGCCTGAAAAGCAGAGTGTATGCATCTCTGTAAAGGCAGTGGGCTGTGTGTGCTTCAATCAGGAGGCATTCACTCATCTGCCTCACTCTGTGTCTGAGTTGTCGGCACATTGTTACAGAAAACTCTGCCTAAAATGACACCGTGGGTTCCAGTGGGCTCCTGCCAAAGTCTCTGAACAATGCCACTGCCAAAGGAAGAAAGATCTATTTCAGCATTTTCTAGGCAACACTGCCAGTTTGACACCATTGCAGCATGAAATTCGCAATATTTGACATTTTTATCGAGTCTCGCGTGAAAAAAATATCATTTTTCTCTTCCAAAAAAAAAAAAGGTGTTTTTTTCCCTTCATTTTCATAAAGAAAATATTGCTGGGGCAAAGGGTGCACCTTCAGTGCCCAAAAGCAAGATACTGCCTTTCCTTGCTTCTTTTCCCTTTCAAAAAAAAAAAAAAAAAAAAAAAAAAAAGAGACCAATTTAAGACCAGTCTCATCATTTTGGAAAGCATAAACTGCAGCCTGGGAGGAATTTTAAGAGCACACCGTGAGACTGTGCCAGGATATCCACTGCTTTAGTGGCTTTAACAGAAAGTTAAAGAATTATTGGTAATTCAGTGGTTAAGATTTTGCACATTCTGGTACAGGATAGAGATATCACAGCCAGGAGAGCAACTGCTTTCACAAAAGATATTGATAATGGAAGCTTTGGCACTACAGAACACCCAAACACACAAAAGCTCATGAGGTACTAAATGGAATTGGAAGTTTCTTTTTCTGCTTAGAGAAAAGCCTGTTTGATCTTGGAATAAGGGGCAAGAACTGTAAGACTTCATCAGGAGATAGATAGATTTTGTCAAATAAAAACATTAAAAAACTGAAGTTAAAAAATTAATGTTGACGCACAATGAGATGGGCACTAATGTGTATATAAAGCTATCATAGTAAAAATACAAGCAGATGTTAGGATAGCTTGAAGAAAACAAGAGATGTAGCTTAATATAATGGAAAACCAAGCAGATTCAGCCAGAATTTATAAATGCAGAGATAATTCTTTCTGTTTGCTTGATTGCTACCTTAAAAAAAAGGAGTTAGGAGCTTGTAGGTGAGTTTGCAACATATTAATGATGTTAACAAACAGCTACATTTATTTTAAAACTCAAGAAAATCAAAATTGAAAAATAACTTACATAATCCATTAATTCATGAGCAGCAAAATTTATTGCTAAGTACATGTCTATTCCCAGCTCCAGACCTATATTGTTGCAAGCTGTTTGCAATTGGAGTAGCAGTTGTTCTAGATTATCATATCCTATTGTCAGGCAGCCTAAATGTGATATTCTTTTTAAGGGTGGTGGCTGAAAGCAAAACAAAATAATCACTTTATTTACACACCTATAATTTATACATATTTATGAGGTTTCTTTCATTGTCATTTCAGTCTGCATTTAGTCATCAAATTATAGATTTGGTCTCAGAAATCTCCTTAACAGCTGTAAGGACAATTCCCTAGGAAAGAGGAATTAGGAAAGTGCTAATGAGTACAGAGCAATAGTCCTTGGAAGTATGTCTAGTCATGCAGATCTCAGTCTTGTATGGCTAGCACTGGTTTAAAAAATTGTATTAAAGGCACTCTTAACAACCACTGGGTTGCCATAAATGCTGTGGTACTATGGACCAACCCTTTTCCATAAAAACATATCCTCTACTTCTAAATAGCTTTTACTCATTAATCCTCAAGTACAACATTGATATTGACTCTGGGGAGGGTTCAAGAAACCTCAAGAATCTCCCAAGACTTCCAGAAGGAACAAATTTCATAGAGGGGAAATACTTCCAGCCCAGCTGCACACTGGAGTCTGCTTCAGGGACAGTAATGCTGGCCATCAGCTGTGTTTGCAAGTATTGAGCAAATATTTCATGTATTTCCTTCTGTTGTCTGTATTTCTGTAGGTTTTCCAAACAGTGGTTTTTAATTGTGAAGTCTGAGAATTTTGGATTATAAAGATGCACCAATAGACAGCAAAAGATGCTGCAGTCTTCCTGCACTTCAGATAGAGATTAAATCTGAAGTTTCATGTGGTTTTCAAGATGTCCATATGCTGTGCCTTGATATATTCTATTAAAAGCATTGTCTATCTGTATAAAATATTTTTTTCTCTGTCTAGTTTTCACTTCCTTAACCTAAATAAGTTATTTTTCACTGCCTACTTCGTAATTTCTTTTTTTCGGCTCACAAAAAAGTTGAAAGTAACATGGTGCCTTCATCAGTTTTCAATTCAGTTTCATTTCTGTCTCCTGTAGTTTTCTCCTACTGAAATAAATGGACTTTTTTTCAGAGAATCTAATGCATTGTTTCCTTGTGTATATCTTACAGAAATATTGTACCTTATGATTGCAGTATATATTGTGGTACTGATATGGAAACTACCCACCAGGAAAACATGGGCCAGCATCTTAATGATGATGAGTTTTTTGTTGTTCTAGCAACAATAAAACAGGAAAGCTTTTGTTGATTCTTTCTTTTTTATACTTCACAACAGTAATGATTCTCACCTGATAATTTAAATCACCTCAGAATGAAGAGGAAAACCTGCATGGCATTTGATCTCACTATTTGGAAAACTCATCAACAAACTACCAGTTTTGAAGGGATAAAAAAGATCATTTGAGCCATACAAAATAATGTCCTGTGCTATATTGTGAGTGCTGCCCTTTAGCTACTGGTTTGTATCTGCCATTATCTATAACCTCAGACTGGGCCTGGGCACTGAATGCAGCAGGACACAGAGGGGAGTTTGCTCCCAGGGTTAGGAAACAGCACAATCCACAAATCTAACAGGTAACAGTTTTATGGTCTACATGATCAAAAGTTCTCTGCTGGTGCTACAGGCCTGCAAAATGTTCATTTGGATAAATTACCAGGATTTCTATATGAGAAAAATTATCAGATCCCAGAAATTTCCCCCTATTTCCTCTACTGCCCCCAAAGGGAAGATATAGTCAGAAGAAATTAAATTATTATGTAAAATATGAGCATTGGAATATTTAAGTCTTGCTTTGACCTTTCCAAAATGGCGATGTAGATTAATGCTTCCTTTCTTAAAAACATTTTAAGTTTCCTGCTGTTCTTAATACCTTGTTGAAAGCTTAGAGTTAAAATCTCTTTTCTTACCGGAGCCTTTTGTCGTTTCCCTTTCCTAGTGTCTCCTTGTGAACCAAGCTGTTGGAGTGAAAGAAGATAGAAATCAATCAATTCCATGGAAAAATACAAAGATGACAAAGAAAAGAAAAAAGAAAAGAAAAGAAAAGAAAAGAAAAGAAAAGAAAGAAAAGAAAAGAAAAGAAAAGAAAAGAAAGAAAAGAAAAGAAAAGAAAAGAAAAGAAAAGAAAAGAAAAGAAAAGAAAAGAAAAGAAAAGAAAAGAAAAGAAAAGAAAAGAAAAGAAAAGAAAAGAAAAGAAAAGAAAAGAAAAGAAAAGAAAAGAAAAGAAAAGAAAAAAGTTGACTGAATTTTGGTCAAAAGAGACCAAATATTTCAGTTAGGAAATAGTTTTATTTTGTGGTGATTACTAATTTAAAATGTTTGTTTCTATGTGGACATCTGTCCAACCATCATTTGTTTTTCAAGACATTCTCCAGCCCATCAAAAATACAGTGGATCTCAAAAATGAGAATCTCGACTCTGTACTTGGAGAAACACAACAACATTGCTTTCCAAAAAGCACATGCACACACCAAGACTGATTTACTGCTACAGCAGTAGTACCTGGAATAAAATATGTTCTATGTGAGAGGTGTAGCAAGGTCAGAATATGTATTGTATATGGCCACTGATACCATTCACTCCCAGTATATTTCTTCATGTAAACAGAAAGCCTTATCCTTAGAACAATGATTTGTTCTACATCTTCTAGTTTAGTATCACCAAATGGCCAATGTTTTATTAATCTGTCAGAGAAATACATTCCCTGTTCTGTGTCATGAACTTGTAACAGGCTAAGTGTTCCATGTGGATGTTTGAAAGGATTAAGAGTAGTAAAAAGATCAAATGAAGTACGTCTCACTGTAAAAACACTGTGTTTTTTACTGTACCCTTTTGGCTGGAGACTCAAAGAGACTTGTGATTTCTTTCTGAATATCCAGAACTCTTTCTATGCCCTGAAATTAAACAACAGTCAACTTCAAAAGGAAGTTATATTAATACATTTTAGCAGTTTGAATCAGAAGAGAGACAACCCTTATTCGAAATGCAAATTTAAATATAAAGTCTTCAAAAAAGCCCAAACCATTACAGATTCCTTAACACAATCTCTCCATCCACAAAATGCAGTCATGTCCAACTATAAAGGGTTAGTAGCACTGGAATGAGCAGGAATATTTGATTATGGGATGTCAAGGAAAGCAGTCCCCACCTCAAAAGTATCCCTTCAGATACCTAACAAGTAAAAAATATCTGGGTCTGCATTTATATCTAAGAAGTGGGAAGGTGATAATCTCTGTTCCTAATTGTGGCTCTGCTTAAGACTTCCTAAACTCTGACAAGACTGAGTGCATTTACCTTCAGAATACTTCCAAGGAGCAGGTAAAAAAAATAACTGTCTTGATTTTAAACATTGGGCAACTCTCCAATTAAATGAATTCATTGCTTTTAATGCAAGGCTCTTTTTCCTCTTCAGCTGAGCTAGTAAATGTTGAGTGTAAAACTTTGTAAAGGACATTTCAGATTTTCTCAAATTGTGCCAGTAAAGGAATACTGAAGGGGGCAGAAGTCTGTCACAGCTGGCAACAGCACAGGACAAACAGCTTCGAGCTCTGCACTGCAGCACACACCTTGCTCCTCTCCCATGGGCACTGGGAGGCATCCTGGCTTTGAATGGGGCAGAATTAGTGACCTTGTTAACAGCTCCGGGGGACAATCCAGAAAAGTTAAAGGAAAAGCAAAAAGAAAGAGAATCGAGCTCAGCTATTTGTTCAGGTCAGCAGCACACAAAGTAGAAATCACAGCCCTAATGGAGGCATCTTGTGCAGATACATTCTTTAATGCAACACATGGCTAAAGAAAAAGAGAGAGGGCTGATCCCATCTGTCTCACCCATCCTTCTTGCTCTTTGTATTCCCTTCTAGTGTCACAATTTCATTTTAAAGCAACCTATTCCCAAATATTTCCTGATTTCCTGTGAATTTGTTAAGGGCTTTGTTGTTTTCTATGCTATATCAAACAACTGCTAATATGTATAATCTACTCATGCAAGATCAATTATTGTGTAACACAATTCCTTGACATCTTCGTCAATGCACTGATTTTTTCCTCTAATAGAAACATCGATTTTTAACTTAAGTCTTCATGGTTCTTCTTTTAAATCATATTTTTATTTAATATAATGTTATTAGTGTTATAATTCTGCACTAACATCTGTTAAAACTTTGGCCTTGTAAGCTAACAAAAAAAGAAAAATATCGTTTGTAAGGACTATATTGAAAAGACTTATATACTTATGTACATATGTAGTTAGTGTGGTGTCTATAGAATGCATCTATTTAAAAAAAGGAAACAGTACCTGCTGGAGTGATAACTCAACTGGTGGTATAAGCATAACTTCTTTGACTAATTTCAGTTTTGTAGGTAATTTTTTCTCACAGTTCAACACAGTTACCATTGGGAGTGGTAGAGTCATTTCTTTAGGTGACTCCTGTAATTGGGAGTGCCAGGTGAAAATAAAAATGTAAAAATCAAAATAATTTCTTATATATTTTAGTTATTGTACAGGGCTCAAAAGCTGTTAACACAGGCAATGGTGTTACGGGTACATTCCATGAGGCAAATTTAATAAAATTGTCGCAAGTGGCTGCAATAATTATGGTAATGGGATGAAATAAACCAAATGGCAAAAGCCACACGTACCTGATTGTGTTTCAGCAGTGCAGTGTGTAAGTACAACGGGACACGGCTAATGGTGGCCCCAGCCTTTGCTATGGCAAGTGATGCTCCCCCAATGGCCAAGCTGCCAGGCAGCACTGGTTCAGCAGCTTCTGCAGGTGGGATGGGATTCACTTCTGCTGACACCTTCTTTCCTACAACACAGACAGTAGTCAAACATTTTCTTGGTTCTAAATGTATGCTTGTGGATCAGAGTTATGTGAGTAAATATGGTATTGTCATTTCAGTGTGTACTCAATGCACTAAAAATAATTTATTTTTTTTAAACTTGTCAGCCGTTTTATATGGAATGCCCTTACAAGCAAGAAGAGCACCTGTCCTCACTCTAGTTTCAAACGCATTTCAAGTCTGTTTCTTTTTGAGATCTTTCAGTCACTGAAATATGTATTTTTATTTATCTGTGTTTGAATCCAATAACATTATATCATTTTTCAGGCTCTTTTCAAAAGCATGTTTTCTTTATTGCACTCTTCAAATGCTCAGATTTTGTATAAAAAATGAAATATAACATTATAATCTAATTGGGAGTACAAATGTTTTCTTCTAATAATGACTGTGAGAAAAAATCAGGTGTATTACAATTGGAATTCCCAAAGGGAAAACAGTCTTTTAATTATTACACATTACATTTTCATAAGGATTTCTTTCCCTTTCACATACAATAACTTTGTACAAAATGCTTTAAACCAAGCAGCTCCCACTACCATATTTATTGCCTATAGTGCTTACATGAACACTTACAGGGAGCACCTGCTGAAGCTGCAATAATTGATCTGATTCCCAAGAACCAATACACTGGGGACTGTTTGATATTTGCTCCAAATTGTCAGGCACTGAGTATAACAATAATGTTACAGTCAATGCCACAATTAGTAAAAACACATAATAGATGTATCAGCAGAAGCTTGACTCAAATATCAAAGACACCACGATGATATCTGCAAGGACCTGACAACTGCAGAAGTTAAATTTCAGGTGAAAGGTGAACTTACTGTGCACACATCCAACATATGAAGTGGGAGGTTTTTTTACTGACAGTATATGATAGTTGCAGCTAAACTTATAAGAAATAATAATTTGCCAACATTTTCTGCCTTTCCAACAAATGACAACAACCCTTTTTTGTCTGAGTTTAATGTATAGATGTAGATAACATATGGTGTTTTTTTCTTTGGGTTGTTTGGTTTTGGCTGTGTATTCTTGCCTGTTTTTCTAGTCTCACACCATTTTTTCCTTCTTCCTCTAGTAAAATGTTTGCTTACTTCATTTTAATCTATACTACCCCTCACTCCCATCTCACCCTCTTCTTTTTGCTTTTTTCTTTTCTTTTTATTTCCTCCTTTTCTCAGTGTTAGAAGGAACTTTCCTCTTTCAATTGTTTTCAGCTTCTATCTTAATTCTATTTCATTTTTACTACTCAGTTCTATGATTTCCTTTTCTTTCCTTATCATTTTCATTTTCATTCTTCATTTGCATCCTCCTCCATTCTTATTCCTCACTCTGAAGAATAATAACCTCCTGTCTAAACCAACTGTAAAACAAAGGCAGAAACTGTTCAACCAATGCTTGTGAATGATGAGGAAACTGTATTTTTCCCCTCCCTCATTTTACTGCAGAAACTACTGTGATCAAAAAGGTCAGGAGAGAGTAACCAAACCCTTTGAAGATGAGACAGGATGTCTTTTAGGACCTTTATCAATATCTATATTGCAAAAGATATTAAAATTAAATGAAGTAAAACCTGTTTTTCCTCCCTTTTTTTGCTTAGGTGGTGAGGCTGAAGGGCACGAAGGAGAGGCATGAGTGGCTTTTGCTGCTTCTTCTGCCTTTTTTTTTTCTTCTTCTTCCTTTTCAATTTTCTTTTTTTCTTCTATCTTGTTTGCAAAATATTCCCTGAGGGAGGATGCATAAAAATTACTGGGTCAAAATTTTGTTAGACATGTGACAAACAGGTAGATGTGATGCAGGCTAAAGAACATGCTAGGAGGTAGATTAAGTGCTTGTGTTTGAGCTTCTGCCATAGATTCCCTGTGTGAAGCTGGAGAAGTCCATACCTTTATCACATCATTCTTTTTTGGTAGCCGCCATCTGCAGCACTGAGTAAATAAAAAGGACCACAACGATCCCAAACCTTGGTACAAGCTTTGTAAATCACTCTGGTTTGAAGGTCAGCTCTGAGCAGACAGTCTGAGCATGAAGGATTTATTTCCTTTGCATGGGTACTAACAGATGCTGTCATAGTTTCATGACATCCTTCAGCCTGACCTGGGTTAAGACAGTAGGTGAGTTGTACAGTAGCTATTGTGTGGCTGCAAACTCAGAGGTGGCTGAGTTTCAATTACATGCATGAAGTGAAATCTTCACCCATGGGTCACAGAAAGCCAATTCAGGCAAACTGAGTGAGATACATAAAGTAGTGTACACAATGCATTAAAATCTTATTTAGACCCATTTCCAACTGAGTCCTTGTTCCCATTACCAAGGTTTCCCCAAATCCACGTGGAAGGCAATTAGGTCTGTGTGCTGCAGTCTGTGTTCAGTGTTGCAGCCCAAAACAGCATACTTTTTATATCATAATTATGAAAAGCAGCCAATAATGTAGTGAAATTAGTCTGAGACAGACATTATATCCTAAAAATAGTTTTTTAAAAATTAGAAAACAGTTAATATTAGATATGTCTTTCATTACAATATAAATTAATGGTGAATATTTCAAATAATAATTTTCATAATATGCAAGACCTACCCAAGCATCTTATCAGCTTGACACTGGTCAGTAGGGTCCAAGTCCCTTAACATTGTGTTCAGTGCTTCATTGACCCATTGCACAGCAGTATGAACAGAGTAATTTCTTTCTTTCGCATCAGCTTCAATTGTTTCAGGTAAAGCATTTTCAGGTATTTGAGAATGAGTAGCCATTACAGTGGAACAAATCCTCTGGAAAAAAAAACCAAAACAAAACAAATACCCACCAAAACAAAACAATGTAAAAGGTTTAAAATACTATTTAATTTCTAACTTGGAAATGTCATTTGAAAGACTAAGAGGTATGCCCTTACCAACTCTACAAGTACATATCTCCAAATCTATTTGCTCCACTTGTCTTTTTTCATCCAACACCTTCTTTTTAGGCTCTTATACTTTGGTAATTGCAGACATAATTCAATCTTTTTGACCTAAAATTATAACTACATAGGCAAAACCCCTCTGACAGGTCTGCTTTATACACATATTATGCTATCAGAACAGAATGGAGTTATTTTAAAGACCATACAATCATTAGGACACCTTTTATTGCAGTTGTTGGTAGCCTGTTGTACCATGATTCATCAGCATTCATGCCTAATGCCATCCCTCATGATCAATTACTTTTGTCTTACTTAGATAATTCAGACCTATCTTTCTGTACTGATTAACAACAAATGATATTAAGAAAATTCACTTAAGGAAGACATAATTTACAAATTTCCCACAGTTGCCTGCACTAACAGTATTAACTTTATTTCCTGTGAATATCTATGAGGTTACATGTAATTCAAGAATTAAGTGAACCAGAGTTCAGCTGAGGGAAAGTAGAAATAATTACTCCACAATAGCTAGAGCTGCAAAGATGTAGTTTGAATATTTCAGGTTGGGGAAGAGATGAGCCATCAATTCTGCACTGCAGGTACTAAATGAGTATGCTTGACTTTACTGTCACCCTATTAGCTCAGTGTAAAAGAAGTGCCTCTATCTATACTGTTTTTCAGCTGTGTTTTTCTGAAAGTGTCACACAAAGAGAAATATAAAAATCTGAAAATTAAAGAAAAAAGTGAAATGAAAGTGAACACACAAGGTTAGTATGGAGTATAAGGAAAACCTACATGATCATTTAAGATAGAAAAAAATTAATATACAGAGATATCTATCAGATCCTACTCACAAAATATTGTCTAATTCCTAGAAAATAAAGCTTTCATAGCTGCTGCCACTGTCTAACTTTTCACAACACTTTTTTTTTCCAAGTTACAACACTCAACTGGGATTTATGTCTTGTCATAAAGATGGAAAATAAAACGTTCCTTAGGAAGTGAGAAGAATAGTACCTCTCCTGGATCTTGTCCTAATAAAATAAATAAAACAAAAGAAGCAGCTCATACCTTCTCATAGTTTTTAACTGTACAGTATATTTCCACTTCTAATGTTGGCTGACCAACTCCATCAAGAACTTTTTTTCCAACTAATTTGCATATTACTGGAGCTTTTGAAAATTTAGAAAAGTAGTTAGCCTTAAATGAAAGAGAAAGAACTAAATTAGAAGTCAATTTCCAGGCAATGAGGCTTTTATTCCATGAAATACCTTACAATCAAATCCACCACTAAACAAATCCATTATGGATCTCTTCCAACCCAGGATATTCTATTATTCTATGATTTCTATGTTCCAGCAAGCTTTGAGCCCTGTGAGAAAGTGGAAACCATGACTTCTGGTAGGCAGAGTCCTCATTCTTTTTCCACCATGGTCTTTATTGGGCCTGATGAACTATCATAATATAGTATCATATTTGGGTCTGTGTTCGTAGTTAATAAACAATGATTTAATGATCTAATGTTGATTTAGAAAAAGGATTATGTTTTTACCTGAGGTTTCTACATACTTCCTTACTAGTTTCATTGTTTAATCTGGTAATTGGAGAGTCACCAAACCACAGGTTACCAAATGGGGAAAGTACGAAACACCTGGGGCTACGAAGAAGAGGAACACGCCAACTACCAACCAAAGCAAGGAAAGGTGTTAGCAATTCCAGCCCCTTCCACTGATGATACAAAACACTGGGAGATGGGAAACACTATAAGATGGAATGAAATATTTCCATTCCACAGCCGCTCTCCCATCAAAGACCATACTAGAAATATTTTTTCTTTTTTTTTTTTTTCTGCTCACTATTTCTAGTATTGGCAATTCCAGTTGAAGTTTCATTATGGCTACTATCAACAACACTTTGCCAAGTGGGAACAGATAAAATTGGTCTGATTCTTGACCCTTCCAGTGGGGCCCATTTGCCTTCCATGAGCAGCCACAGAGTGAACAGCACCCAGCCTCTTGTCGCCGCTGGCCCGGGAGTCATCGCAGCTGAGCGGCACTTTTGTTAGGGACAAACAGCAGTTTGTTTTTGTGAAGCCCGGCCAGCACAACACCCAGCTGCCACGGTCACAATCACAGAACCACGGCAATGCTTGCCCGGGCCAGGGGACAAGCCCTGAATTGCCACCACACAGACACTGAGCTCCGGGGCTGAGGGCAGAGCCCGGCAGCGGCACGGGCACGGCACCCTCACAGCTCCGGCCCCGCCCGGCGGCTTCCCCACCCCGCGCTACCAGCTCCCCGTAGAGATCCGCGGGGGGCAGCGGGAACAGGGCGTTCAGCACGTCCTCCATCCGCTCCGGCACCCGCTGCCCTCGGTAATACTCGGCCGCCTCCCGCCGCAGCCGCCGCCGCTCGGCCGCCTCCATCGCGGCGCTGCGGCCGCTGCCGGGCAACGGAGCCGGGGAGCGCCCGCCCCGAGCCCCGTGCCCGCCAGCCGCAGGGCGGGTCGGTGGCTCCTCAGGGCGGGCCAGGGGCGCCTCAGGGCGGTCTGCCGCGGCCCCGCGTTCCCGAGGCTCTGCTCCCTCCGGAGCAGCCCGGGTTGGGGCAGAGCTGGTTCGGTCTGGCCCATTTTGGTTCCTGGGAACAGCCCGTGTTGGGGCAGAGCTGGTTCGGTTTGTCCCGCTGTGGCTCCTCAGTGCCCCGTGGCGCTCGCTCTTCGCCCCCAGCCCTGTCCCCGCTTTCCGAGTCAGGACTCCCCGACCAAGCGCTCCTCGGTTTTAAAAGCCTTCGAGCGACAAAACTCTGTGAGATTACGGTCCTGAAAGAGGGACAGGCTGTGGTTTGGTAAATGTCTGGCGAAGACGACGCTGCAAAGCGCCCGCAGTAACTCCTACGTTTGAAAGGCCTCCATTTTCAATGAAAGGAAACATTTCGCGACCTAAATGATCATTTTTAAGCCCGCAATTTTCTACAAAAACTTTCACTTTCTTACACTGTTCACTGGTAATTTTGTTGAAGTAACTGAAAATGGAGATACTTAAAAGCTGTTAGCTGCACACTTCCCTAGCTCTAAAATCAATATGTGTGGACCTTTGCTCATTGTGTGCTCACTTCTCCAGGTGGGGTGATAATGAAGAAAAATCCCTAAGGAATCATTTTCTTTTCCTTTCACATCCTTTAGAAATACTATGGTACCTCTCCAGAGATTTAAACCCTCTTTTTTTAAAAAGCTGCTTCCTCTGAAAAAGTTTCTAAAGTGACACTACCTGTTCCTTGAGGATGCGAATGCCTCATTAGATTTTCTTACTTCAGGAGGAGTTGATGTGGTGTGTGGCTGCTCCTTTGGGCACACAGCTGCCTCAGGAAGGGCTTGTGCAGCCAGAGGCATTGGTGGCAGTAGTCAAACAGTGCCAGATATTTGTCACACGCACAGGCTTGCCCCAGAAAGCTCCAGTTTAATTAAATGGTCCTGGAAGAACAGGCTTCTGGAGGTAAATGGTGCTGGTGTGGTGGTCTCTGAGCATGATCATATGCGGTGAAATACTACCCAGTGTGAGACCTGTGCCTTCTGATATGTTTAGGTGCCTCTATATCATAGTTTCCCACCTTCTGCCCTTTCACAGGCTCTAAACAAAATGTATCATGAAGGAACACGTTGGAGATAAAAGGGAGACTAGGGAAAATGTCAGACTTCTCTGGAAGGGAGTGGGAGAACTAAATGCCCAGGATTATGAGGAAAGCTGATACACTCGATAGCTCTTGTGCTTCTGTTCACTCCAAGTGCTGCAGCTACACCACCCAAGTTGCAAAAGGAAGGTAAAGGACTGAGAGACCAAAGGGGTAAAGTGTTGGTACCCAAGGGAAGAGTAACTGATGTCATCTGCCTGTACTGTGCTAAGCCCTTGACATTGCCAGCATGATATCTTTTTCTCTAAACTGGAGAGATGGATTTGATGGATGGACCACTTGGTAGATAAGAAATTGGCTGGATGGTCACATGGAAAGGTTTGTGGTCAATGGTTCAATGACCAATTGTCCAATGTCCAGTGACAGGAGGCATCCTCAGGGTCAGTGCTGGACTGGGGCTGTTACCCATCTTTGTTGATGACATTGACAGTGGGACTGAGGCACTCGGGAAGGGGAAGGGGAAGGGGAAGAGAGAAAAGAGAAGAGAAGAGAAGAGAAGAGAAGAGAAGAGAAGAGAAGAGAAGAGAAGAGAAGAGAAGAGAAGAGAAGAGAAGAGAAGAGAAGAGAAGAGAAGAGAAGAGAAGAGAAGAGAAGAGAAGAGAAGAGAAGAGAAGAGAAGAGAAGAGAAGAGAAGAGAAGAGAAGAGAAGAGAAGAGAAGAGAAGAGAAGAGAAGAGAAGAGAAGAGAAGAGAAGAGAAGAGAAGAGAAGAGAAGAAGACTCCAGGGGAACTTTAGAGCCCTGCCAGTACCTAAAAGGTCTCCCTACAAGAATGATGGGGAGAGACTTTTTACAAGGGTATGCAGTGATAGAAGAAAGGACAATGGCCTCAAACTGAAACAGATACAGATTAAATATTAGGTAGAAATTCTTTGCTGTGAGGCTGATGAGGCATTGGCACAGCTTTCCCAGAGATGCTGTGAATGCCCCCTCCCTGGAAAAGAAGAAATCTGTCAGGTTTGCCTTAAGTGAAGCAATGAGATGAAGCAGAATGATGCTCATTTAATAACCCTGCACTCTTGTTTTCAATAAACTGCTGGAAATACTAGTAGGGAGTCCCTCAAGTATTTATCATTTTTGTTTCTGGATCAAGTGAATGTTACATGAATTATCTGTATGGCCATGTAATTTCCATTAACAGTAATAGTAATTGTAAGCATATAGAAAGAGGATGGCTTATCCTGTGATCCTCCCTATTACAAAGTAGTTAACTGATTAAGGTTAGGATACCACAAGCCACTTCATACCATCCGTGAACTCTCTGCAACCCCATTATCTTCATTAGGCTTGTGTGGGTGTAATTAATTGGTGTTTAGTTACCAGTTGTGTTGAATGAAAAGAATTTAGTTCTATTTCTCTTAGTTTTATAGGCCCCGTGGTGCTAACAGGCTAAAGTGTAATTAAAAACTCTCTAATCAAAGTATATGTAACAAGAGCCAAGGAGCAAACCCAGTGAGGAAAAGCCTGTGCTTGGTGTAACTCTGGCCTTTCAAAAATGACTGGGTACAAATGACACCCTATCATTTTTTTTGCTTTTAAACAGGGCAGACACTTCACTTATATCAACATGTACATTAAAACCCCATCTGTATAATTGCAATCATGGCATTCCTAGGGGTGACATCATATTTTGATGTCTTCTCAGCAGATTTTGCCCCAAATCTTCTATAGATTGCCTCTTATTTTGGTTTCAGAGAGAAATGGGTTGAGTTTCTTTTGACAGCAACCGTACAGTTTTATCTTACCTCAAGCCTTTATTATAACGCTTGTGCCAGGAAAGAAATGACAATTAGCTTTTCCTGGCTTATGATACTGTGTTGTGTGTGTTCCCTTTTTCACATGCATCTCCTTTGGGTATAAATGTGGTGCTAATGCTCTAAACCCAAGTATAATATCACATGCTTAAGGGATGCATGAAGCATTTGTTTTTTGCTGTTCTAAAATGCCTCTTTAAAGATATAAACTTGACCCTTAAATCAATTAAGATCATGGTCTCACTGCCATCTGTGTTCTTGTAGGATTTCACAGAGTAGTATGTGCTCATTCCACTGACAAGGGTTCTTTAAAGTCAGCTATCAGTACATAAAAACTGCATTTCCAATAAGATCAGGATTGTCATTTTATCTTGGTGATACAAATTCTCTTCTACAGACATATTACTGATTTTGAAGCATTTTAATTATGTTTAAAAAAAGGTTTTTAATGATTTTTCTTTTTATATCTAAAATGCTTCTATAGTGTTTCTTTTTATTCTTAATATTCTATATCCTCTAAGGAAAAAACTCCAGTAACAAAGCTAAATATAACATTATGTATAAGATTAAACAAAAGATTCTGTCCTTAGACGTGGCTAAACACAACATTTAGATTAGACTTTTAGACTAGATAAAAACTTGCAAGGACTTAAGGAATATATATATGGCATGTTTGGAAATTTCAAATAATTATTTAAGGCTTCCCCCAACTCCCCCAGCACTATTATTTTAATTTCCCAAGTACTCCTATGTGAGTTCATTTGCCTTGAGTAATCATTCTCCGCTCCAATGGTTACTTCAAGTTGAGTGGGCTTTAGTACTAATTTCTTTCTAAACTTTGAGGATCCTTCCTGTGGGTCTGCTCAGCTCCTGCTGTGCGAGGGTGAGCCTGGCCTTGTCCTGTAATCCATCACATCAGGGTCCTTGAGCTGCGTAGGATTTAGTAATGCCCTAAAGTTCACAACAGTTACTTCCAAATGCACACACAAAGAAATCCTGTAGCAAACTCCTGATATCCAAGACAAGAATTGTCAATATGCTACTCTGAAATGTTAACTCACTTAAAAATATATATGGAGTCTGAATGTTATCAGGCTTTGTGAAATTAATATTCAGTATTTTCCTTTGCATGACATGTGGGCTAATACATCAGTTACTGCATATAAGGTAATTTCAAAGAGGATGCAGCAGCGTGGCCATAATACATTTATAGTACATAATTCATAGTACAATTTATACAAGTGTGCAATCAAGCTCAGAGATAAACGGAGAGTTAGAAAACGGCAGACAGAAAATTTATTACAATGGAATTACTCTTTTCTACCTGTTTGTTGAAAGAAGAGACCTTCCTGAAAATAATTACTTCATACATTTTCAAAGGTTATGAGTGTTAAGGCACCTTTTTTTTTTCCTAATACTTTCCATTCATTACTCTCACTATAAAGAATTTTGCAGAAGATATTTTTTGATTGAAATGTTTTTAGCTTCAGCTTTCAGGTTTTGCATCTTCTTCTTTTTATATTGAATTAGAAATCTAAATTTGCTTAAGTATTGGAGAAGTGGCACTTGCAGTTTCAAATGTAGAAACTTCTGGGGTGGTGGGAAGCAATTTGTAGGTTATGTTACTGATCAGCAGAGCAAAGGTTTACATGGCTGAGAAGTAAAGCCTGACTAGATCAGATGAACTGGTGATCTGTGGGGAACATGAAAAATAAAGTTTGAAATCTGAGTTAGTTACAAGTATGTAATAGCTGAGAAGAATATCACAACGAGTGAGAAAGTGTTAACTGAGTTCTAAAGTCCTGTAATTTGTGGACAGATTTTAAGAGAAGCTTTTATGTTTCTTTCTAGGTAAAATGAAGCTGGTAGCAGAAGGGTTTAATGAGTTCAAATGAAAAGATAATTTGTACATTATTGTAGGGAATTGGGGTATTCCTGCACCTGTTATTTTTTGTTGTTGTTGTTTTGGGGTCATGGTGTTTTGTTTGGATTTGGGTTTTCTTTTTCTTAAACGCATTTTTTGGGGGAACAAACTGAGTATGAAAGAAAAGGAAGAGTGGCATTTTTTTCCCCATGGTATATCTCCTGATTTTTACAACCTTAATCACTTGGGGCATGTCTTGAACTTTTAACCTTCTTTCCCCAGCACTGATGCAGTGAATAATGGACTCTCCTGCCTGACACATAACTAGATTGCAGTTCAAAG